CGTCTTTACGACAAACGTTCTGGAAAATATTAGCGTTTCGTGTTCGTTTGGACTTCGTGTGGACGGGGCCTCAGAGGCATAGGCCAGTATCGGGTATTGCAAGCCAACAACGACCTAAACAACTCCCTATTACTAAGGGTTGGACCTATATTTTCAGTTCAATTTGCATGTTTTCTAAGCCATAACAAGGCTTTGTTTGGCTACTCTATAAAGCTTGGAACTCGATGCTAATCCAGACATTTTGGATTGTGAAAGCTTCCTTAATGGGAAGCGAAACATCTTCAAACTTGTAAAATAAAGTTCTGTATTTTTTATTTTTTTTTACGTCGCGTCTCTAATATCGTTATAGAATGGAACATTTAAAAAATGCATTTTAATACACCCACTAAGAAGGAATACAGCATTGGTAAGAGTATCCTGATGCTCTACCCTCACAACTAAGTAAAACACGCGCTTTGCCCTCCAGCTACAGAAACAAGCATTTTCTATGAACTTTTTCTGTTGGGTGGATTGTTACACCATCCTCCTCAGATTTTTCTGTTAGCAGGCGCTAACATCTGTGTAAGCTGAGCTACTTTAGCACATGGAAATGCTAAAGTAGTTAATGGATTAAATGCAATCCTCAGAAGCTACTACAAATGCTGGCTGGCAGTGCAGGCTGGAAATGGCAACCTGATTTCTAAAGTAAGTGATTGCTGTCAGCATATTTAGATGATCCGTTTAGATGAAAACATTGCATATTATGCATGTAAACTTAGCTCCTGTAGTCATTTCAGAGGGATGTGAACAAAACACCTTTGCTTTACTGTGTCCCTCTTCTAATGCTGCTGCTTTTTGCTGCCTCAAAATAAAAAACTGGCACCCACTCTGCATTTATGTTTGAAATATTTAATAGCTTATTAGTAATTCATCTATAAAATGGGACTTTTTTACACATCCCATATTATTTGTAGTTCTCTCTCTTTATGCTCAGGGCAGAATATATTTTGTTATTGTAACTCATCTGAATCCAGGATAGATTTATTCCTATTGAGACAGCATCACAGTAAAGGAGAAAAAGTTAAATGGCAATAATCATAAACACTGTAAACAACTGTAATGTTCACTCTTTAATCTATTTTAAATTGTTCATCTTTGACAGCAACACTATATTGTTTTGATGAACAAATCTGTTTTATTCTTCTTCAGTTGCAAATCTATTCAACCCTAGGTTTTGCAGTCTCAGCGGCTGATGGTGTTTCCATTCCATCTCTGGGTGGGAGTCTGTTCTCTGCACCTACATGACTGGGGTGGATTAATTCTTCTAATAATCCTGCTTATCTGGATGGTTACTGTGACTTTTAAAATATCTCTACAGTGCAAAATGTTTCAGTATTATTGTCCTAGCTGATGCTTCATTAACTGTGATGATGGCAGCTTCAAAATCAGCAGCATATGGGGAATTAAGGGTTGAGGAAGATCAAACTGGCTTCTCTCTGATCGATCAGGATTAAAGATGCACCCATAATAATGTCCAAACTGGTCCCAATATTGGAGGAATTTCAAGATTGGTTACCAGCAGAGGTGGAAAGAGTACTAAAAGATTGTAATTGAGTAAAAGTATCTTTACTTTGCATAAATTTTACTCAGAGTAAAAGTAAAATTACCCATCTCAAAATTTACTCAAGTAAAAGTACAAAATTACTTCATTTTAGGGTTGTCAAAAGTATTGATACTCGAAAAAGTATCGATACTGAAATGTTGTATCCGAATACAATACTCGTTTTTTAAAGTATTGATACAGTGCCACGATTAGTGGCACCTAACCAGTCATTCATTTAAAGTGCAGAATAGAGGACAATGCACTTTCAAAACACTGTGTGATTGAATAATTCTACGCACTTTTCAGTTTTAGACTTTTTTTTTTAAGAGGTGCAGCTGCTGAGAATTATTTTTGTTTCTTAACTGGTTTGGCTAGTGTCATTGTTATGTGTGCAAAGCATAGCCAAGGAAGGAACACAATTTTAATTTTATAAGTTTTTTATCAAGCTTGCTTAATATTGTGCACAGCATACAACCTTTATTGTATTTATTTATTGTATTTTATTTATTAATG